TCCACCTAGAGCCGGCCCACATCAGTATTCCTCATTCTCCCTAAAACGGCCCACATCAGTAGTGAAGGGACGATACATTTGCAGCCCCACCAAGTACGTCTCCATTCCCCAATCCCCACAAGGTAGTACTATTCTTCTTTTATCAAAAGTCAATATGGTTTCGGACTTTCACTAGGAGTATATATATTATGATTATATTATGTACAAACAGTTTTTTGAAACAGAAATTTTCCTCTTCTATTCTCGTATGGCGTCGATGAAACACTTTGAAGGACAAATCAAGGCCCTCAGTCCTCGTGGTTCAACGAATTATGTGCCAATATAATACTCACTCAAGTTCTCCTAAGTCAGTTTTTGTCATAGATGCGTGCCATTATTTTGTACAAAGTTGTTAACCTCAAAAAAATACTTATTTAAAAAAATAGAAATCGGTTTATTTATAGATGAAAAGATTACACAGTTTGTTTGGACAATACCGACCGACAATCCTTACGACATTTACAGTAGACATAGGAGAGAGACCTGTAAAATTTTCATACACGTGCGGGGTACACAGCACTTGAGCTTTGTCATTTTCATGGCCTTGGAAGCACCACGATTAATTATATTAGCTTAAAAATAAGCATGTGTATATAGATTTGCAGACCTCCTCGTGCAAAAGAGAGGCTATCCAAGCCGAAGTACGATGCGGAAACAGAAACGATAGTTATTTAGGGACGGACGGATGGAGTGCGAGGCAAGAAAAAGGACTACAGTAGGATCATGAAATGAGAATGTACGGTGGTACTGGCCCCGTAGAGAGGTCAATACAGTCGTCCATCGTCAAGGTACGGTGGATCAGTAGTCAGTTAGGAACGACTACCGGCTAGCGGGGGCCGGGGCCGGTAGCTAGCGGGACGCGTCCTGCGCGCGACTGGGGGTGGTGGGGCGCGTGTAGGTCCCGCGGCGAACGCCCTGCCGGCTCGCCCGGTGGGGACGCCACGGCGGCCGCTCGCCTGCTGCTGCTTCCTTTCCTCCCAACCAACTGCGTTGACCACCGATTACTACTCGAGGCCGGATGTTTTTTCAGAAAGGTGCTCGGGAGGTGATGATATTGCGACTCCGAGACTCCGCATACACGGGGACGTACGTGGCGTGGCCAACGGTGGCGATCGTCGCGGTACGTACGCTTGCGCCGTATGCGGTCACTGCCGGTGACCACACGACATGACTGTTTACTCTCTAGGTTGTTCGATTTGGCTTTGACTGTTACATAGACTCTGATCTTAGTTTTAGATCCGCTACGCAAATCGACACCGGTTAAATTATTTTTCTGCAACGGCATGTGGCGTCTCCAAATACGGCACGTATGTACTATCATGTATGCGTACACATGGACTCGTACGTAGACTGCGGCAACGGTCCAAGAAAATGGACGTAATACAGTGCGCGTATACACGACACTATCGGAAGGCTTACGAGTCCAAAAACGTGAATATATAAGGGTCCGAGTGCAAATTCAGCTGGGAGCTACTACGTGGCTGTGGCTGCACGTGAATATGTGCTATTGCTTGCTGTTGTGTAATGGCAACAGCCACCCAACACCAAACCATATTTATCTATCTACTGCAGTCGGTACTGTTTGCTTCCTCGTTGTTCGTTTGAGTTTATTCAGAGCTACTTTTAAAGTATTGAACAGTGTTTTCCTCTCACAACATTTTAGTATAAGCATCAGCATAGGTCAAATTTCAACATCACGCCTGTCCACGTCCTGCCCCATGAATCCTTTAAATTTAAACCTTACAGTAATCTACAGCCACATGCCCACATCTGTCAGTGTTGCAACTCGCTGCTCACCAGCCCACTGGACTCGATCAAAGATTACCTATCCTACCGCTGTTATTACTGTTGTTTTATTAGTGGTTGTAACTTGTACGGGAGTCCATTTGACTGTTCGGCTGATGGTTTTTACTGCTAATAAGCTGGCCGCGACTATTTTGTTGTAAAACAAAACATTGTACCATTGCTGTTTTCGTTGTCTCTCTGTAAAAATATGGAGTATACCACGGTTGACAAATGCAAGGGAGTCTAGTAAAAAACAGGAAAGAGGTGGTCACGGGCTCACACGGCTTCGGTTAACAGCATCTTCGTATATAATAGAGTACCTGAGAACGATCAGATGAATTATTACAAATGCACGGGAAAAACTGCAAACGAACCTTCATTTGTCTGCCATTAGTCGTCGATGCCGGTAGTGCAGGCGTCAGGACTTCCTGACGGATGCACGCGTCAAGACGTATGCGCAGCCTTCTTCCTTCCGCTGATTTTTTTCCAGCCCTGCACGTGCACGTCGTTCCATCACAGCGCCCGCGATTTCGGACTACTCCCCTCGCAAGCGCAACCTGCCCTATTCGCCTCGATTCGAGGCCGATCGCCCTGCCCCATTCGTTGGACACAGGCACATCACCCGCCCCGTCCACTAGCCCTCAGCTCGTCGTGACCCATTCTTTGGCGGCTGTGCGGTGCCACCATCACTGGCAATGCAGCCCTTAACTCTCCGAACAACATGAAACACATGAATGCAACTTACGTACGAAAACAGATGTAACATCAGGACATACACTTGCAATATATCTATGAAACATATGCAACATTCAGATAAAACACTTGAACACTTACTGTAATATAAGACTGAAACTGCTGAAACATTTGGAACATATTGTTGCCACATATGTGTGTGAAAACATATGCAACATTCAGATCAGAACGCTTGCAACATATGTCTGGAACAGATGAAATATTTTGAACAAACTTTTGAAACACTTGCAACATGCTTATGGAACACTTGCAATATATGCAACATGTGCAACATCCCCAACCTACTTTTGCAATATCCATATAAAACAATTGCAACATGTATCTGAAATATTTGAAACACTTGAAACATACGCTTGCAACATACGCTTTCTTTCGCAACATTTCCTTGCAGAGGTCGCGTGTCGCGGCAGCCACGGCGTCAACAGGACCCCAACAGCACCTCGACGCGCGCGGGGGACGGGGAACAACATGCAACAATGGGGGCATGGCGAGCAACGAGCTAGAGCACGGCGCGACGACGGAGGGGGCGCGATGTGGGATGGAGCGCGGCGCTGGATGGGGTGCGCGTCGGGGAAGACGGCCACAGCGACCACACGGCGTAGCAGCACGTGATGGACAAGCACTGAAAGTAGGAGACATTTTTTAGAGAGAGATGAGGACACGCAGACCTATTGAGTCAGTGGCGCGTAGGTCTAGAAAACAGTGTCCGGATGAACGAACGCCCGGTCCTAAGCATTATTGTTAATCAAATGTTGAATATATATATATATTGTGTGTGTGACGCGAAATGGTTGTTTGCTTGCCTTGAAGAAGCTTCCACTGCAAGAAGTGTCCTACCCTTAATTTCAATGTACCATTCAAAGTTCGACACATGCCAATCAGAAGAAGACATAGGTCCCGTTCGCTTGTCTTGTAATCCATATTTTTCAAAAAAAAATTTAATTCAAACAGTGTTTTTCTTTTAAAAAATCTATTAAAACAGTGTTTCGACTTATTTTTTTAGCGAGACGAAGGGACCATAATCTTACCTTGTCCCGAAACAAATTTTGTGCATTACGTGACCCTAATAGAAGATATTTTCGCATGAAAATGTTACAAAAAAAAAATTCGGTTGCCACTCACGCGCAATATTGATAACGATACCTCATCTCACTTGATTTGGTGACCAGTGCACCCACGAGATACATAATGCAAAAGAACTCGTGCGTAAAAAACAATGGCCCTATTCGCTTAAACTTATCCACAGTACCGTTTCAACAAAAATAATACTATTTTTCTCTCACATCAAATCAATATCGATATTAGCTGTTTTTCAGCCAGCCGAACATACCAATGACCCCGCTGTCAATTGGAGTGGGAAGCAAGATATTTCATAAAGGTCCTTTCCAACATTTATTTTAAGGGTTAAGTCCAATTTACACCCTCCAACTTGCAGCAAAATTCGGATTTCAACCTCGAACTTCAAAACCGGACAACTTTGGCCTCCATCTCTCGAAAAAAGTTCAACTTTCAACTTTACAGGCGGTTTTTGGGTGAACAGTAACTTTTGATATTTTTGGGCGCCAAAAATTTTATATTATTTTTCTCATCAGCATCAAAATTGTTTCTCAAATGATGAGACTCAAATTTCAAAAAATAGAAAACCCTTCAATCTATGTCGGATGAAGATAATTTTATATGTAAATTTTAGACTCGATGAGATCTATTTTTTGTAGTTTTGAGTCTTTTCATTTGAGGACAAATAAGATGCTGAAAAAATAATATATTTTTTCAGCATCATATTTTTTATCAAATGATGAGACTCAAAATTTCACAAAATAGAAAATCCCTTCAGGTCTACAATGTCGGATGAAGATAATTTTTATATGTAAATTGTAGACCTCGATGAGATCTACAACTTTGTAGTTTTGAGTTTTTTCATTTAAGGACGTTAAGATGCTCGAAAAAATAATATAAAATTGGGGCGCTCCCGACCCGCAAAACCGCCCAGCAGGTTGAGAGTTGAACTTTTTCGAGAGTTGGAGGGCCAAAGTTGTCCGGTTTTGAAGTTCGAGGTTGAAATCTGAACTTTGCTGCAAGTTGGAGGGTGTAAATTGGACTTAACCCTTATTTTAAACTACTCAGTACTCACTACCACCCACAGATATACATACATAGCTACATCATGCATAGTCCAGCTGTGTCACAATCTCCGTTAAAATCAGTTCTTTTTACAAACACAAATTTCCATAGAATCATGAGAAATATATACTAGACTACACTAAAACCACTGCCACTTTTCACAGGTCACCCTTCTACCACATCATCACCACGCTAATAACAACACATTCACATTGAAGACTAGGCAAGGCCGAGCTGAGCAGTGCAACCACACACACCGCGTCTCATACGGTTGAGCCATTGAAGCGCGTCAAGGCGAACCCATGGCGCCGCCGCCGGAGGAGGAGAAGCCGCTGCCGCGGCCAGAGCCAGAGCCAAAGCCGCCGAAGCCCAAGCCGAAGGTGCCGGAGCCGCCGAAGCCCAAGCCGGCGGGGCCGTTGCCTGAGCGGGACGGGGACGGGGACCCCGCCGTCGTCGTCGCCACCACGTCCCCGCCGGCGGACCTCTTCTGCGCCGACACCTGCTCCGGCGCATGCGCTTACTTACCGCACTGCCAGCGGTCGCCCCCGCCGTCGTCGCGCGGGACCACCTTGCACCTGCGCTCGAGCCGGCTCCCCACCCCGCTCATCGCGCTCTCGGCGTCGCTCCTCGCCGTCTCCGCGGTCCTCCTGCTCGTGCTGCTCGTCCACCGCCTCGTGGCGCAGCGGCGCAGGCGGCGGCGGGCGCGGGACGCGGCGCTGGCGCTGGCTCACCACGGCGAGGAGGGAGGAGGGGGCCACCAGGTGCTGGCTGGCGCGGTGGCGCAGGAGGTGGGGGAGGAGGAGGCCGACGGCGGCGGCGGCGTGCACCACGTGTGGTACATACGGACCAAGGGCCTCGACGAGCGCGCCATCGCGGCCATCGCCGCGGTGGTGTACGACGCCAAGCAGCGCCGGGGCAGTGGCGGAGGGGGCACCAACGGCGACGACGGGGACGGGGACGACGGCAGCTGCGCGGTGTGCCTCGCGGAGTTCCGGGACGGCGAGACGCTGCGCCTGCTGCCGCGGTGCGGCCACGCGTTCCACCGCGGGTGCATCGACACCTGGCTCCGCGCCCACGTCAACTGCCCGCTCTGCCGCGCGCCCGTCCAGGTCGCCCTCGCCGCCTCCGCCAACAATCCCTAGCTCCGCGCCGGGCGCGCGCCGCCGCCGCCACGCCGGGGGCCCGGCAGGAGAGGAATCTTGTTGGCGCCGTCGGTGGCGTTCAGGCGACAGAGGAGACCGCGCGCGGCGGCGGCGTGCCGGACCGCGCCGTCAGGAGGGCCGCGTCCATGGTGGCGCTGCCGCGGCGGGCGTGGCCGGACGTCTCGATGCGGGCGCCGGCGTCGAGCAGCGGCCGCGAGGAGGACATGACGGGGCTCGGCAAGATCAGCCGGCTTCTCAAGTTCTCGGACGCGCTGGAGATGGCCGGAATCGGGGTCGAGCGGTCGGTCTCGTTTGGCGCCGGGAGCTGCCAGCGCTTGCCGCCAAGGTCGGGGCCCTCGGCCGCCGCAGGCGTCAGCGCTGACGAGACGTCACAGTGAACTGGTTGACGCCGACGATGAGGTGATTGGATAAAAGTTGCAGCTTTGGGAGTTGAAGGTTGGTGTTGGTTTGCAAAGTTTTGTGTGGCACATGGGAAGGTAAAAATATCATCTTTCCAAGTTTCGTGTAAAATCACAAGTAAATAACTCGTGAGTTTGTGCATATACTGCGGAGCGTCAGAAATTGTAAATAAGAATTCCTGACAAAAGAAGTTGTGTGCAAAATCAGAGAAAGTAAGTACGCATACATGTGTAACATATAAAAGATCACTCCTGTTCGTCCTGGGTACAGAATTTCTGAAAGATATGGGTGAACTGAAGGCATATGTTGCTCAAATTTGGCCCACTGAGCTCTAGTTTCTCTGTATTCATCATGACCCACCATGACCTTTAATTCTCGTATGTCTATGATCTTTAAGCTGCTGCTGCCTGCAGGAATAAGGACCAAACATCAGTCTCAATCTTGTTGAGATTCAGGTGCAGATTGCAGGCATCACCCAGATAAACTTTAAAGGAGATGAATTACTTGTGGATGATGCCAACTAGGCAATTTGTTCTGTTCCCATCCCAATACAGAATGAATTGGATGCTATCCCAATTCCCAATTCCCAACCCAGATAAACTTTAGGCGATTTTTTTTGGTTTTGGCTACTGTAGCACTTTCGTTTGTATTTAGCAATTAGTGTCTAATTATGGACTAATTAGGTTCAAAAGTTTCGTCTCGCGATTTCTCACCCAACTGTGCAATTAGTTATGTTTTTCGTCTACATTTAGTACTCCATGCATGTGCCGTAAGATTCGATGTGACACTTTGGGATGAAAATTTTTGGAAACTAAACAGTGCCTAGACCCAAGCATTGCATTGCACCTGAAGGCCTTGTTAAATTTGCCTGCCGAGGTCAGGATTCTGGACGAGAAGTTCCATCGGACAAGCCATCTCACCTGCCTTGCCATGTCTCTGTCAGGGTAACACCTCATTAAAAATGATGCTTCTGTTTGCAATGCTAATGGTGTGAGGTTAAAGTAGGCAGGGTTGGCAGTTCTTCCCAGTCGCCTCTCAAGGCAGCCAGTAGTGTGCATCAATTATTTGGACCGGACGGTTGTTGTAGGTCGTTGTTGGTCATCAAATGAGATGTGGATGCTGCAGTGCGCCTGTGCTGCTGGCTGTGGGTGAGGCTTCTAGGATGGAGTAAGAAACATAGCAATTACCTTCAACTTTTGGCATCGGGGTGCAGAAGTGACAATTTTTTTCTTGTAAAAAGTTTTAGGTGCACCTCACGATTCTTTTAGGTTGATTCAGGATAAGCTCATGCACACCGCACATCAGACCCTTTTGAGATGTCCGTTCTTGAAGCAACCTTTTGGTTTCCTTTTGGTCTCACCGCGTCAGAAGATCATTCAGAAGTATCGTCTAACCGTAGTGCACTGCACTGCTGGGCACACGCGTAGTATTAGACTTAGGGATAGTGACAACGGTGACACCTTTGAGTTCAGCAAACATATCATAGAACAAGAAAAACCGGCAAACTGCTCCTTGATTCCAGCACAGAGGTGTGTAGATCATAGTGTCACAACTCACAACACCCTTTTGTCATCCAAACAAAAGATTGGTCATCACATGTATATAAGCACCCAGAAGCTATGTGCATTTCAAATATTTTTTGTACATATTTAATGCGCTTACACAATGAATTGTTTTTGCATACAAAATAAATTGTTTCTGAACTCTCCATATTGGACTCTTGAGACAATCTCCTTACAATTCATAAGTGCAGCATGAAGAAACATTGTTACAGATGACTATCACTTACTTATGCCATCAACTTACAAAACTTTGACAACAGGAGTACATGACCCTTTTTACTACAAACATGACAGGGCTCAATGCCTTTTGTTGTTGTCCTTGAGAAAAATAATGAAGTTGACCTAAGTCCAAAACTTGTTCAATCTCTGAAGTAATACTACTAATATGTCCAGTAGAGTAGATCAGTCAGGGCTGAACAGAAATCTATCTCAACGCGGCAACATTGCCAAAATGTCTTCTTTGTGCTGCGTACAGTAGTACACCAAAATTGCAAGAATAATAACTAGTAGCATGGGCCATACGCTTGTTCCTGTCAGGACACAACCATCCATTTTTAGTATAGGGCTTGCAGGGAGTGGCTGGAAAAAACAAATCTATGAATTAAAGAAGCAACATACCATTGCTCTTTGGGGACCCAACATATGTCACCCTTGCAGTAGAGTCAAAGGAAGTTGACAGCAATGTTCTGAAATGATGTAAATCAAACTACAATGAGAAATTTCATTTTTTGTTTAGATTCATCAACTCGAAGTTAAAGATACTAACCTTGAATCCTGAGAGAAGGCCAGTGTAGTAACAATACCAAGATGAGCCTTTTTAACTGTTACAAGGGTCCTCATGTCTTTTGAGCCAACTATGATGGTGCTTCCTTCGATCGTTCCACTATAAACAAAAGGCAGACAAATAAAATTCTCAAGAAAATACATCAATAGTATCTCCACAAGATGATTAATAAATAAAACCAAGGGGATCTTTCCAATCTCACATCGCAAGAAGAGCACCATTGGGTGACACAGCAAAAGCTGAAATTGCCTCACGAGTTATTTTCTTTGATCCGATTCTCGTCCATGAGGTAGTATTCCAAGATACTATTTTTCCATAATCACCTAAAAAGCAATATTATTCAGGTATTGTCAGACCTTAAGCTTGTTGCCTAATTCAATTTGTAACTAGGTCAAGTTCATCTTAATGCCACCTTGCATCGCTGTTATAAATAGGACGTGACTGTTGTCAGTCTTATTACAGAATCTGCAGAATCCAAATATTTCCCCCTGGAAATGTACAGATCAAAACTCTCTTGAAACAAGACACGAAATCATTAAAATAATGCATTTCGTCCAAGAAAGGAACTCACTGCTTCTCTTGGCAGACTAGCTACAACTTCAGATGACTGCAAATCCCACACTCTACATGGGCCACTGCTCCTATTCACAGCAAGAAACTTATCGTCGGAACTGAAAGCATGGACCAAAGCAGAGGAGCCCATCAGTATCGCACAACCAATATTCAAGTGGGAAGAGAGAGTTTAATGGTCATTTATTCACCTGATGGTAAGATCCTTAATTGATGTTTTAGTATCAGTTTCTGTGAGAACAGATGCCATGGCAGGCCACTTGAAGACTCTTAGATGCCCATCCTACAACAGAATAGAAAGAAACGAACATGTCAATAACCATAAGATTTCAATACCAAAACAGAAGCTCCAAGAGAAACAAGAAAATCACATATGAACCATGACAAAAAAACTCAAAGCACAAATGCAAGACCATACTGATAAGTAATCTACTTAAATGGAGGCAAACCAGATTTGCCTTGTTATAATGTAAAAGCAAGATTAAATATCAGTGCTCAAAGACTGTTCTGCCAGTAGGAAACAACTATTAATAGATAAAACTTATTGAAACTGATAAGCATATCTTTGCTTTTAACGACAAATTATGCTGATGGCGCAAACATGAATAAAACAAGGACGTATCATAAAAAGTGCATCTCAAGAACTACTTAATGTTATTTGGTATCTCCATACGTTAAAGACATAAAATAAAACAATTTCATTCAGAACTGCACTGGCTCTACTTTCTAGCCAAAGATTTTTGTACCATGTTGACCACGAAACAAGAATCTCTTTGCCTAAAATTAACAATATACACCCACCTCTTCAGATACCTCAACTCACTATCAGAATCCCCATACATACTATTGTACTTGTACCAAATGATTAATAAGTTGCCAAAACGAGCTAATTGTTTGGCTACATTAATCGGTACTAAAAAAATGTTGCTTATGATGACCATAGTATGTAGTATACACATTTTTTCTGCATGATGCCATGAAGAATATTAATTTTAGTACACCTAGAAATTACCAAGCTAACATATCTTTCTAGGCATTTTTTTCCATTTATGATGTCAGACTCAGAAGAACAAATAAAGTTGAAAGTTAGAAACTTAGAATGCATTCCAATCTAGGTACTCGAAGTGCCTAAAGTTTTCCCTTGGGACAAAGTCAAATAGGAAAGGAAAATAAAAAGATGCTAACTAAACCTACCAACAATAGTTACAAAAAAAAAAAATGGAAAAAGTACACCATATTAACTTACCTCACCACCGATGGCAAGTATTGAACCTTCTCCACTGAAGGATACCGACAACTGCAAACCAACATCTTTGAGCTCCGCTAAAGCTTCCCGGTCTGGCTCCAAAGCCAGCTTCTGTGGTCCCTCTCCTTCCTGTGATTCCCATCGATACAACCTACATGAGTGTTTTCGTAGTTAAAATTATGAAAAAGCAAACTTTTCAACCAAGTTTAATTATTTATTTACTGTTCACAGGAATACGGAACAAGACAGAATTATCTTTTCTAGAATATAAGATTATGGCGAAGCATATAAGGTACATTTTGTAGCTGATACTTTCTGAACCACAAACACATCTATACTGATAACAACTAAGAAAGCCCAAATATGCTCCATGTTAGACTGCAAAAATTAGATGGTAAGGGATTTAATTACTAAGGAA